CATGTAATTACAAATTTTACCATTTAACTATTATTGTTTTGTAACTTTCTTTCTTACAGTTTATAAAATTTTTAAATTTTACGGATCAATAATAATTTTAGCGGAATGATACATATATAAAAAAAAATGAAAATTTGTTATAATTTTACAAAAATGAACATGATTTTGACCTTGTTTAAGTTTTTGAACACGTTATTATTCTGTTAAAAACTTAATGAACTGAAAAATTAAAAACAAAATCGGAAAAGCATGCAAAGAACAAAACACAAATCATAAAATTCAAAATGGTAATAACAAGGAATTTAATTACAGTTCGATGATGTTGGATTTTAAATAACTAATATTTAGAGCATGCAAATAAGAAAAACACTAAAAGAAAAATAAAATCAGTTTTTTCATAAATTAATCAAGAAAATTTGTTCGTATAATTTATCTAAATCTTATTTTTAAATTAATTTGACTTTAAAATTATTTCACTTATTTAAATATAAACTAGTTGATTTTTTTAGAAAAGTCTAAAAAAAGGTAAAAGGAATTAACTTCTTATAAACTATAATTAGTTGCATAGGTTGAAAATAAATGTTTAAAGAAATTATAACACAGACTTGCTACAATATATTGATTTTTTATTTTATTTTTCTATAATAATTTTTTATGAAAAGCTCTTCCAAATCTGAGTGGTACTACTTTTTTAGTTTTTAAACTAGACCTGTTAGATGGGTACATATTTATATAGTATTCGTGTTGTGTTTTCTGAATGCAGTTTCCGAAAGTTTTTATCCTCTGTTACTCCACACATCGTAGTAAGCAAAAGCGGCACGAAGCCCGCAGAAGGTGAGACTGAAATCCCATGTGGAATGCTGGACGCGTCGCTGTCCACCACGTGGCACTATTTGACAGCAAGGTTTTATCACATTCCAGCTGGCATTTTCTTTGAAATAAAAAAACCAATAACAAATTGTTATGTTTTTATAATTATGTCATTGACATGAAGTGTTTATTTTGCGATGTTATAAATATTTAAAAAATAATTAACTAATAATATAATTAAAATAATGATTATCTTCATGGTCGTAAGTAGACGACGTGTGAATATGAGTGTCCAGCGCACGACGTCCCATCATCATCATTCATGAAGAGAATTATTTTTCAGAAGTTTTATTCTATAACTTTTACAAACAAAGAAGACAAAAAAAAAAATAATACATACACATATATATATATATATATATATATATATATATATATATATATATATATATATATATATATATATATATATATATTGTTCTGCTTTGCCAGATGGATTATGTATCAGACCAGCAAAAATACATTCTCAATTTGGATAAGAGAATAAAAAAACATAATCATTCAATAGGTTATAATATTATATATATATATATATATATAATTTTTATCTTCAAGAATTAGAGGATGAGATATATGTTTCTGTCTCAATGTTCCATCATTTTCTTCAAATTACTTTTCCATCCTTCACTAAAAGGATTTCAATATTCAAAATTGATTGTATTTTTATGACGTTTAATTGTACTTTTGGTTCGTAAGCTATCATAATTTATCATTTTTTCAATTTTAATTGGATTAATAAGGCTTGCAAATATATAATGCGTAAAATTGTAATAAGACTATTTATAATGATTTTTTCCAAGAACCCACAAGTGGTATTAAAACTACGATTTTTTCCGTTATAGCCTCAAAAGAGTGTGATTTAAAAAAAATGATTTAAAAAATGTTATTTTATAAAAACGATTTGAATGTTACCAGAAAAAAGAGACAATTATTTTTCTAACAATAAAAATCAATTATAAATAATGTTAGAGTGAACTTTTGAAATGTTTTGTAGCTTTGTAATTTTTGTTAGAAATTTTAATGGACGTTATATTTTATTCATGTATCCTTGATATAGAATAAAATGTAACATAATATTAAATATAAAATATTTATAATATCTCAATCTTAATCCAAAATAATAACTAATTTTTAAAATGGAATGATATTTTTAAAATTGAAATATTTTCTAAAAGCTAATTTAAACAAAAATACATATTAAGTAAATATTTTTAATATTCCTTTTTGTTGGCTTAATATTTGTTTATTTGAATTTTAAATTTTTAAATTTGATTATCCTTCTTTTTGTGTTTGATTTTCTCCTTTTATTTTTTGTTTGTAATTTTTATTTTTCTCTTTCTTTCCAAAAAAATATCTTCTTTCAATTTGATATTCTTTATTGTATTTATTCTTTTATCAGCGTCATCTTCTTTGTTGGGAATTTCATGACGTTGTGAATTTTATGACAGTGACATTTGAATGTTAGAATGTGGATCTTCATCTACTTTCTTCACTTAGACATCAAAGTTCTTCAAAAGATATTCATCTTCTTTTGTGTTTCCAATTCCTCCTTCATCAAATCCAAAATAAATCTTTTTGTCTTTTGTATGAACTTTGAATACTTCTAGGTTATTACATCTTTTATCATACCAAGGAGATCCTAGGTTTGAGAGACGCTTAAAATTTGTTGCTCCTCATGTGGTTTTGTATAATCACTATTTATAATCCAATCTTTTGTAGATGTGTTGGTTGTAACTCATAATGTTGCAAGGAATAATTCATTCTTTGATTCTACGGTCTTTATATCTTCTTGACGATCTTGGGATTTGCATGCATTCTTCACATGTCCCAATTTACTACATTTGTGGCATTTTACATTTAGCCTCCACAAACACCAATTAGATTGGTGATTATTTTTCTTCTAATAGGGAGAAGATGAAAAAACATGATGTATTTGCTCCTTCGGTTGTTCTTGACTATGAGATTTTGTATGAAGTAAAACACCTTTCCATGATTTTCTCTCATTAATCTTTGTTGTTCTTGTGTTTGCAAGACATGTATCACCTTTGTTAAAATAATTATAGACAAATCTTTTATGTTTTATAATATAGATGCTTCATATCTCTAACACCATCACTAAAATTTTCTCAACAAGTTTAGAATTTGGAAACTCTTTTTCCTAACAATTTTAATTTGTTAGCAATACCCAATAATTTATATGTCTTATACTTTTTCATTATTTGCATCTCAAACTCCCTTATCAAATTTTAAACTTTCATGCGTCGAATCTTCTTTCCCTTCATATTCTACTTTTATATATTCTCAAATTTTTTTAGAAACGATTCCAATAAAAATCATTGTGAAGAATACCTACAAACAAACGTGACTTTTTACATTTGTAAAGGTTATGAAAATATGAAATATATATTGTACAGAGGAACTTGTTATCTTTTATATAATATATATATATATATATATATATATATATATATATATAATATCAAATATACAATATTCATAATATCTCAAAAATAATAACTAATGTTAGATATTTTTAAAATTGAAATACTTATTAAAAATTAATTTAAATAAAAAACATATTAAGTAAATATTCTCAATGATTTTTAATTTATTGTGCATCCAAGATGTAGTGATTTATTTGTTTTAAAAGTGAAATGAATTATACTATGATAATGTTTTTTTTATTATATTTACTAATTCAATTTAAATATAAAAAACAATTTTCATGTAGAAATATATAAATATAAAATTATAAATATGTGTGAGGTTGAATTTAGTTATAATGAGTTTGTAATTAAAACGTGGTAAGAGATTATAAAAACTAATGGGGCATGTAAGATCTACTCAAATTTGCTATGATGAAAATTTTAATTGAAAAAAATCGAAATGCTAAAATACGTAATTACATTATTTGTAGGACTAGTAGAACCATAATTGATTATGTGGAGTTAAGTCATTAAAAAAGAGATATAATCTTCTTGTGAGATAAGTCTATTGTATCTATTTTCTTTTTTTCCATCTATGAGGTGAAGAAAAGTTTGTTAGTCAAATTGTGAGAGTGATAGATATTTACATAATAATAATAAAAAAAATCAAGACTTAATATCTATCCAATATCTTAATTATAAGTAATTGAAAGAATAAACAAAAAAGAAGTTTTAAAAAGTTATAAATAAAAGCATGTACATGATGTCGCTGCAGTGTTTGATAAAATGAGTTACTTGCTTATCATATATTTTTCCATAAACATACTAGGTTTAAGTGTGTTTAAAGCAATGGAGTTATAATATTGAAACATAACATGCTTGATATTTCTGTATAGTAAGATGCTAAAAGCCAGTTAATTTCTGCTTAAAGATGGTTCATTATTTAAATGTTCAAACATGGTTTTAAGGTAATTTTATGTGTGAGAAGCTTCGAGCATTGGAATGTTTTAGGGTTTGTGACATGCATTGTGTGAATGTAGGATAGGATGCGTCTACATTTAGTTTAAGAATTGCCGTATTTTGCGGGTCAATAACCCTTGACCAAAGATTTGAGAGTGATTTTGAACTTTTGTCAAACTCTATATTATTGAGTTGAATTTTAGTGATCAGCAAATGGAACAAGAAACTAAAAAATTTTATGTAGGTAAATTATGCTTGATATAATTTTACACACTATAAGTATCAACAAAAGTTAAAGAAAGTAATTTTTTTATATTAAAATAAATTTTAACCAAAATGTAAAAAGGTAATGAAAAACTCTACCAACTGGGCACATCATTAAATAGAATAATTGAGCTAATAAAATGTTTGATTTGTAAAACTTTTGGCAAAGAAATCCATGTATTTTGTGTGACATTGACACCTCTATGGCTTGACATTAGAATTAAATAGGTATGGATTTAGCTGTTGTTGAATATTAGAACCCTGAAAATAGAAAAAGAAAACATGAGCAATATATTTTGATTATGATTAGCAAGAACAGGATCCAAATATGGATGAAAAAGCAGACGTATGAATGCAATAATGAATGGGGGCTTAAGGGTCAATCTCTAACAAACATGGGATATAGTTCCCATATCCATCAAAAGTTGAGTTTTGAGAAGGATGGTGTCTTTATAATGAATGCCAAATGCCAACACATTAAACCAAAAATTCCACTTTAAAAACTGTTTCCACCAGAACTAAACCGAACTTGTCCAAATCCTCAAACCTCAGTTTTCATTCCTTTGATTAGGCGTTGAAACTTTGATCCAACTTCCTCAGACCCTCTTCTCTCTCTTCACTCCTCTTCACTCCTCTTCACTTCTCTCTCTAGAAAGTGAAGACTTTTGAATGAAAACTTGATTGAGGCTCTTTATAACAAACCAAACTTCATTATCTCTCATTATGTCCTTCTTCTTCTTATGAAGGAAGTGAAGTTCAGAACAAAAAACAATAAAGGAAAAGTCGTAACTCTTTCTCTCTCTCTCTCCCTCTCTTAATCACTCTGTGAAAAGCTCATCTCTTTTCAATGGCTAAGTCAAAAAACAATGCGAAGAAGTTGTCCTACATATCAGTTCCTTCTCAGATCATCAATTCTATATCTTCTTCTTCTCTGCAATCTCTTCTTGACTCTCCCAAGAAGACTTCAAGGAGCACCAACAGGTTCTTTTTCTTCTTCACAAACAGCATCTTCAGGAGGCCAAGATTGTGGTTTTTCACTCTCTTTCTCTTTGGTTTCCTTGGCATGCTCAAGTTTGGCCTCACCATTAACATCCCATTTTCTCCCCACCCATGTGCCACAACCCTGCCTCAGAACATGATCTCAACCCCACATCCAAAGTCAAACCTTGGTGTTGTGAGACAGAATAACATAAAAGATCAGGTTTTGTTGACAAAGGCTTTGGTTTCCCATGTGGAGCTTAGAGCACAGGGATTGGACAAGGTGGAAGGTGATGGAGGTGTTGAGAAGAGTGAGTTCTGGAAGCAGCCAGATGGGTTGGGATACAAACCTTGCCTTAGTTTCAGCAGGGATTACAGAAGAGCAACCGATGGGGTTCTAAAGGATAGGAGAAAGTACCTCATGGTGGTTGTTTCTGGGGGCTTGAATCAGCAAAGGAATCAAATTGTTGATGCAGTTGTCATTGCTAGGATTCTTGGGGCTGCTTTGGTTGTTCCTATATTGCAAGTCAATGTCATTTGGGGTGATGAAAGGTACATTTTATTCTTGTCCAAAGCCATATGGGTTTAGCTTATTGTTGGATTTTAAATTTTGGACAAGATATCAAGTAATGTTTAGGCTTAATAAATGCTTTATGCTCTTATTCCGATCCACTTGATTAACTAGTGTTAATTATATTTGTTTCCTTATTTGTGTTTGTTATAAGATAGTGTGGCGAGACTTTGATTGTTTTTCCTTTTTTGTGATGTTTTCCATTTGTTTGGTTTGATTGCAGTGAGTTTGGTGATATATTTGATTTGGAACACTTCAAGAGAGTTCTTGCCAATGATGTCCGAGTGGTTTCAGCATTGCCATCAACGCACCTAATGACAAAACCAGTGGAGGGAAGTCCTCCTCTTCATGTCACTCCCAGCTGGATCCGTTCAAGATACCTCAGAAGAGTAAGAACTTGTTTGATTCTCTCCGCCCTTTTTGTTTTTAAAACGGTTTTCCAAAACAGTTGTACAGTACTCAACAATCAATTTCTCATCCAAAATCTATAAACTTTTGAAAATTATTTCCACAAAAAGTGTTTTGAAAACCAACAACCAAAAACGGTTGGAGACGTTCTCTTATCCTGTAGTGTTTTCTTCAGGTGTTCTGTTCATTGGTTTTTCTGTAATTCTTAATGGGGTTAGCTTCTCCAAATTTTTCTGGTCCATTAATATGATAGTTCATATGGGGGTCATTTTATGCATGCCACCTACATTAATATGAAAGTGAGTGTTTTCATTGTTGTTTGGAAAAAAAGGACACTTTCCTGACTGTAGTCTTGCGCAGTTCAACAGAGAAGGTGTCTTGCTTTTACGTGGACTGGATTCGAGGCTGACAAAGGATCTTCCTCCTGATCTTCAAAAGCTTAGATGCAAGGTATTTAGAATTCAAATTCTCTTGCTTTCTGTATATTTTAAATGGGAAATAAAAACAAGAAACCAGGTAAAATCACCCTTTAGAAATTGGCTTGTATAAGAGTAGGTTGCAGATTGTGAAAGTTAGTTCTGATCTTGTGTTTCAGGTTGCTTTCAATGCACTGAGGTTTGCTCAACCGGTTCAGGAACTTGGGGACAAGATTGCAGAGAGAATGAAGAGCAAGGGACCTTACCTTGCTCTTCATCTACGGATGGAAAAGGATGTCTGGGTGAGAACTGGTTGTCTACCTGGTCTGAGTCCTGAGCATGATGAGATTGTAAAAAATGAGAGGATAAATAGGCCTGAACTCTTAACTGCGAAATCAAACATGACATACCATGAAAGGAAGCTGGCTGGTCTCTGCCCCTTAAATGCTGTGGAGGTTACCAGGTGAATACAACAGCACTTTTGGTTACTTGGTTGTTTTTCAGCATGTTCTGATAGATGTTTTGGTTCAATTTATAGGCTTTTGAAGGGTCTAGGAGCTCCAAAGAATACTAGAATTTATTGGGCTGGAGGACAACCTTTGGGTGGAAAAGAAGCCTTGCTTCCATTGATCCAAGAGTTTCCTCATTTTTATAGCAAGGAAGATCTTGCCTTGCCAGGAGAATTACAACCCTTTGCAAATAAGGCATCCATAATGGCTGCCATAGATTACATAGTCTCTGAGAAGAGTGATGTTTTCATGCCATCTCATGGAGGAAATATGGGCCATGCAATTCAGGTTTGCCTGTTATGTTGTTGTTAGTGATTCTTCTTCTCTTCACAAATGTCAAGTTATTTTCACTTTTGGTTTGGAAGATAGGAAATGGTGAAAACAACATTTTACTATTTTTACCTTCCCTATTCAAATCTAGGAGAATAGGAAACAAAGTGAAACCAACTTGGTAGTTTTATATCTGTTTGTGAAAACAGGAAACTAAAATATGCAATAGAAATAAAAATACTTAAAATGGTGTTTCACTTTCAGGGTCACAGAGCATTTGCTGGGCACAAGAAATATATAACTCCAAACAAGAGACACATGCTCCCTTACTTTCATAATTCTTCCATCTCTGAAGAAGAGTTCAACAGAATCATCAAGGAGTTGCACCAGGACTCATTGGGGCAGCCAGAACTTAGGACTATCAAAGCTGGAAGGGATGTTACAAAGTATCCTATTCCAGAGTGCATGTGCAATGACTCACATGCTAATTCCTGATCTAAAAGTAGTACCAAAGTTTGTGGCATGAAGGCTATTTAGCAAGTAAGAAAGTGCAACTTTCAATAGGATGTGCAATTTTGACCCCTTTGGAGCACTTCAACTGCCTTTCTTTTCAAGGTAACCATGAGAGTTCTGGGCACCCAGTTTCTACTACACATCATTTCAAGCACTCTTCTCTACTGGGAGGTGTACCATTATTCCCTAAATACGTTTACCTATGATTTCAAGCACTGTACATTTCCATCGTCATTCAGATGATAGATTCAAAATAAAATACAACAGAAGATCATTCTTTGATTTTTTATACAGAGATTGTATAGGATATTTGATACGTTCTCTTTAGCTGTGTAATTCTTATCACAATGTGAAGACTTGTTGATATTTGTGTATATATATATATTATCATTAGTTTTTGGATTATTGTCTGATCATAAAGATCACCTTGTGCAACCCTTGCTACCATTTAATTCACCACTGCGAAAGTAAGACAAGTTAAGAACTTGAAGAAACAGAATATGTGATTTGATTGGTATTCCAATACCAGAAAAGAAGAAAATCTTTGTAAATATTCATGTAGTTTTCATAAAGCTTTAATTTATTTTTTCATTGGAATGCTACTAACAATACTATTTTGGCCAGTTTAATTATCCTTTTAAAGTGATTTTGAAGTTACTAAACTACTTTTCCATCAACAAGCAACTACTTTTAAACAAAACAGTTTTGTTTTAGCAAGCATTTTGTCTACTGAAAGTTAAATTCAAAAGATAAATTCAAAATGTCTTTTTGATTAGTTATTCACTTATTGGTCAAAGAACCTCAAGACCATGTTTAAGAAGACTGAAATTCTGCAAATTATTGGCATATGAGTTAAGTTTATGGTTTGGTTTTATCAAAAAAAATGGTCTTGTATGAACAAATTTGAAAGAAAACCATATTCTGAAAAGTTGTTTTCCAAAGTTTAGACTAAAGCAGGTGCAAGTCTGTAAATGAGCAAAAGAAGTTAGTTACGTAGGACCACTGCATTGCCAGAACATAACATTATTGTAAGGTTGGCATTATGTGTTTGTTTTGGCATTATTCTGATTGAGGTTTGATGTTTGTTTCAGGGTACAGTGACTGTTATTGTCTAACATCTTATCTCAAAATCATCCAATTACATCAGACATTCTACTCTTTCTGCTCATGTATTCTTCTTCTGTGAATAATATTGCATTTGCATGGTCAAATTTAAATTTTGGTCTCATTTTTCTTTCACACTAATATCCAAACAAAATCTTCATACACAGTAAAACTATTAATGTGCATTACAAAGAATTTAAAAACCATATAAAAAGTTATATCTAATCTCTTAACAATAGACAAAATTACATTAACTGCTTGTTAATAAGAGTAATAGGTATGTACCGTTGTGGTAATATCTTGCACTGTCAACAAATTAGAAAGCTATACTTGATATGACTTTTAATGTAACTTTTTGTAATCAACAAATGCAAAAAAGACTTATATTAAAAGTAAATTATAACGAATCAATAGTATAAAACTCTTTGCATTAAAGTTAAAGTCTTATTTAATATCTATTAAATAAAGAGTTGAACATGAGCTGTTATTTTTTTCAACATTTGATGTATACACATGACTGCTACTTTTGACGTGTAGATTCCTGAATCATGAAAGAGATCCTCCTTTCCCTAGAATGAACTTGACAGGAACTTAGCATGAAATTGACTGGATTTAAAATTGTTTCAAAAAATACAGTTGATCCAATGCTTCTGGCTCGAGTGCAATTTGGAACAGAAACACATCATGTTATTGGTGGAGTAACATTCAGACACTATTTGTAAGCATGTTTCCATGAACCAGGGTATGAGAATGGCTTCAAATGTTCTTGGCTGGTTATAAACAAGTCAAACAACAGCAGGACCAACTCTAGCTTGGTGTTTTCTTCTTGTCAATGTTATCCAGCAGCATCAGCTGTACCTGAAAAGTTTAAAACCAAGGGACCTGCCAAGTGTAATAATGGTACCTTCTAAAGTTATTCTAACTGGCCCCCTTTTAGTTTTTGCTGCATCTACCTGCTACTATTCAACTTCAATATGACCTCTATTCACTGCTTTGATTCCCAGAACAAAACCTTCATTAACCAATCACAGAATTTACATGCAATTGTAGTTATGATTTCACATAATTATTATATCTGATTTATCTTTCAAAGTTTTGTATGGCAAATGTCTCAATACATTATATAGATTATATGTAAATTCATCTTATCTCTAATACAAGATTTCCAACATATTCTCTCGTGTTGAAATATATATCTTGAACATAAAACTAGGAATCAGTGAATGGTATGATAATAGTAAATGACAAAATAGATTCAATAAACAACTAATTTTATTATGATAAGTTTCAATGACTTTCATATTATCTTAAGATTATGAACTTTAAACCTAATTTAACTTTGTAAAATTTGTTTGTAAGATAGAGTTTGTAATTATTTTTGTACCATATGAATCGGACGGTCCAAGGAAGACCACACAGGATCAGCCTAACCGGACGGTGGCAGAATAACCGCCCGGTAGGTTATCTGGGTCATTAAGACCATGATCAAGGTAAGCAGCTATTAGAGCTATTGAGCTAAAATTGGGCCGTGATTAACTTTTCACTAATCCTAAACCCATGACAAAAACTATAAATACAGGTCAAAGGTAAGTGGTAGGTACGTTGCACATTTATTGCACATTTATTACTATTCTATTGAATTGTGGAACAATTCATACACTGACTTTGGCATGGGAGGATCTTTGATAGGTTCCCTCCCGGACGGAAAAGCAGGACAGCGGAGCTTTGAGCAAGACCGGACGGCGAGAAGGCAAAATTATGGAAGAGTTTGGTGAGTTAACCCCATAACCTAAACAATTTTTATTGTAAATTTATCTTATTTATAATCGATGTAAATATTCACCATAAAAGGGTATGTCCTCCACCCTGGTACCATTGCACAATGTCGTAGGAAAAAGCTCTAAGATTCCTTGATCACCACCAACTGGTCCCCATGAGACAAGATATCAGTAGTACTGTAACAAGGCTGTGTAGGCTTGTGCATGTCCTGCAGTGGAATTCAGCATCAAAGTAGTGTGTGACATGGTGTTATTGGGACCCCACATGGCCCATAAATCCAAAGTTTTCTTGAAAATTTATGGGATCATTAAAAAAAAAAAACAGGTATGCATGCATTATTCAGGTGTGTGCGCCTTTAAGAAGCTAAAAATAATCTCAATTATGGGAAAATTCGTACCAGAAAAGGAGCCAAAGGGCTAAAAGTTTATGCAGTAGGGAGACAATAATTGAATTCAACAATTGTTTTTGTCACTCCTGCTAATGCAATTACAGCGAATCAAATTCCCTTAAATTTCATCACTCATCTTTTTTGTATCACAGGAAACAAAAGTTTCGTTAACTCAGAAAATTAGCTGCTTTATTCACCAAAGATGGTAAGTGTCAGACATATTCAGTGTTTTGTTGCTGTCTTGCTACTGATAAACATTGAAGTGTTTTAATCAAGTTTATGATATCATGGAAAACACAACTCTTTGTTTCTAATAAAGACCTCAGACTTTTTTTTTAGATTAAACTTTTAACTTCTTTTATTCTTAATTTTTTAAATATTTTCACTGGTCAAAGTTCATGGATTTTTTGTATGTTGAATGACATGGTTATGTAATGAAAATAGTAATAGTCCAGACTTATCACGTCATCAATGTTCTAACTGGAAAATTAACATTCTAGATTGGTCTTTGTTTTTTATATAATTAGTAGGGCCGAGAAACAAATACAAGTCTTTGATCATCAAACTGGTTAATGAAGGATTAAAAATACAATTTTAAAAGAAGTAATTGATTTTACCGGAATTTGCTTTTAATAGTTTAAATTGGGTTTCTAAACAGGCCTTTAATTTTTATTAAACTTTCTAAAGCTTTGAGAAATTAAAAATGTTTTAACATGAGGATGCATTCAAATTAATGATCTATCTATGAATTTGTATCTCTATTTGTGTGGGTTTGAAATACATTATATAATTTGAAAATTTATTCTAGTTATGGAATTGAAACTCAAAAATATATTTTATATTATACCATATCCACATTTATTACGGATTTTGTAATTCAATATATATTTTTGGATATCAAAATATTGAATAACACAATTCAAATCATATTTTAAATTATATAATTAAAAAAAAATTAGATTATGTAATTTGGAAATTATTCTCGATTACGTAATTTGAAAATTACATTTTTAAATTTTATATATTTTTAGATTAATTAATTTGAAAATATATTATAAGTTATATAATCAAAGCACATTTTCTAATCCGGAAATCTATATTCCGAATTACATAAATTAAAAATCTGAAAATATATTTTACTATCTAAAATAGATTCTCCATTAAATTTGGAACATGTTTGTGAATTTCAAATTATGAAAATATAAAGCATGAACATTTTAAACCTTTCTAACACTTTCTTGGAGGTATATTGAGAAACATGAACGAGGTGCAGAAAGTAATTATCTTACTTATGTGGTCCAATGTTTTAGTTACATAAATTTTCATTGGGTGTTACTCCCTCCACCACCACATTTTCTCCCTCCACCTCCATATTTTTTGAATTACAAAACTAACATTTTATAATTAGACAAATAACCTTTTTATTTTTTAATCCTAATTATTTACTTTAACCCTAAAATCTATTTTTTACCCCTTCTCACCCACCTCCCAACCCCTCATATTCTCACCTAAACTCCATCAGATTTGTTTCTCATCTTTCATTTTTCCTCACAGTGTGGTGGTGCTTCAAGGTGCTGGTTCAGAGGCATGAGAGGTTCAGAGGCATAAGAGGTTCAGAGGCGTGAAGGTGCGTAACAAAACCCTAAAATATAAATCGTATAATCTTTAAAAGGATGTGAGCATCCGTCAACGGATGTCAACATCCGTTTAAGGGAAAACGGATGTCAACATCCATCGACGGATATCGACATCCGTTTCAGATCCAAACGGATACCCGACATCCGTTTTTGGCCTGGTTATCTTCTTCCTTTCTCCCAACACACGCACACAGAAAAAAACGCAGAGCACAGCACAACACAGAGCACAACACAAAGCACAACACAGATATATATGCATTGCATTTAAAAAAAAATTAAAAATATCATCACTAACCTTGTGAGGAAAAATGGAAGATGAGAAACAAATCTGATGGAGTTTAGATGAGAATCTGAGGGGTTGGGAGGTGGGTGAGAAGAGGTAGAAAGATAGATTTTAGGATTAAAGTAAATAATTAGGATTAAAAAATAAAAAGGTTATTTGTGTAATTATAAAAGGTTAGTTTTGTAATTCAAAAAATATGTTATAGAATTGGGGAGGTGGAGGGAGAAAATGTGGTGATGGAGGGAGTAACACCCATTTTCATTTGTAGTTGAAATGATACAAACAAAATCGATGTTGGGCCTAGTTTTGCTGTTATGGGGTTAATTTCATACATACATACACACACACACACATATATATATATATATATNATTTGTATTTTTTTATTACATTAATATATATATATATATATATATATATATATATTAATGTAATAAAAAAATACAAATACAATGCGTGCATGTGTTTTCGTTAATAATAATAATAGTAATAATAATAACTTTTTATTTGGTATTTTATAATTTTCAACCTAACAAACCTACCTTATTTTATAATATTTTAATATATTACCATTTTTTATGTAAGTAAATATTTTTTATAATTTAAATTCAATACTATTTTTTATTAAATTATTACTTACTTATAAATTATGTTTGAATAACTTAAAATTATGTTTTATGTTATATTTTGATAATTTTTATGCTTTGAGTGATTTACAAATATTTTATTTTATTTTACCATGTGAGTCTTTCAGTTCAGAACAATTTTATAATACAATAATAATGATAATTTTCCATAAATATTTGCTTTAAGGTTAAGTTTGAATACTTTTCATGTTATATTTAAATATCTTTAGTGTTATATTTATTTAAGTAATTTAAGAATGAAAAGTTAATTTTTATAAAGTAAATAATCTCTTACTCAAAATAAAAGATTTAAAAATGTATACAGTAACATTCCAAATTTTCATAGCATTTAATTACCATGGTATTAGTCACACCTTCAAAATACAAACAGTTAACTCAAAGAAACATTATTACATATATCCAAATATAACTTATAATAACAAAACATATATACAAGATCATGCACTACTACGATATATTATAGTGAACCAAAAGTGTAATATGATAAAATAACAGTATAAAATTGACCTAAACATGTTATATTAACATCACAATAACACATTTAGATCAAAAACAACGAAAGCAAAATGAAAGAATAATGTACGTACCTCCTGCCATTGCAACTTTTGTAATCCAAACACAGATAGGTTCGTTTTTCTAAACCTTAACTCACTCAAACTCGAGGGTGTGTTTTCTGAATAGAGGAGTAGGCTTAATCCTAATTCACACGTACTTGTGTATCTCTAAAAAATAGTTCAAAGATTCGAATCCCAATGATATTATTTTATATATAAAATAATTATACTAGTAGTTTTATAAATGAAGGTAAAAATAAATTCAAGAGGTATCGATTATTTTACTTTGGGACAAAAACGAAACATATTCTTCCTTTGTCATGCTCATGATGTGAAGTACTTTGAATTTTAATTCAGAAATCCCACAGAAGAAATAATTCAGTGAATAGTTTACAAGAATGTTCAAGAAGTGGAAAACAAAAACTCAAGAAAACCTTATCATGTATATTTTCTTTTGGTTACAAGAATACCACCAGCTATATGATTTTGAATTCACCAAACCAGAACTGAATTCCTACAACCCTCAAGGTCACATGATGAAGTAAGAACAATGAATGAAATACAGAATCAATCGTTCTGAATAACAGCAACATTGATATGAACACATGATGATACTTCCACATTTTTTCTTGAAAGAAAGATTCTAAATAGCTCAAGGTTATAACACAAATTTTCCTCCAATGACCATGTTCTCACTGATCAAGACAACAGCAGCTACCAAAATCGGTGTGTTTTTTTATAAAACTGAGTGAATCTGTGTAGCACTTTGTTTTATTCCCAATCTTGAGCATGAAAAAAAATCAAAATTGGTTCTGAAACAGTTCCTGCCAAAGACTAAAAAAATCATTGATACCCCAAGACGGTGGCAGAAGTTCTTCATTTCCATAAACATCAGATAGTTTTGTTTAGCTTTCCCAGCCATCCTGCATAAATCTCGATCAAGACTATCATCACCCCTTGTTATGTGCAAGTGCATGCTAAATCAACCCTCCACAAGTAACCCTTCATTTCCACCAAGCTTCACATCACAGTAATATTTCTCAACAACATCGTCCGTCATGTCTGCATTAAACATGATTCTTCTTTTGTAGAAGCTGGCCAAAATGGGGATAGTTCAACAACTTTTCCTACTATAATCAGTGTTGGTGACACCAGCTGAGCAGATGTTATTTTCTCAGAAAGGTCTTTTAGTTCAGCAAACACCTGCATGATTATGAATGATTACTTTCATGTTAACAACCATTCACAACTACAAACTAATCTGTCTCTCTGCTAACTGCTACCATTAGATAAAATCATAAAGTCTTGATTGCATGAAAGGAACTGGTTCAGATTGAGCAAACAAAGAACATACTGTTATTGATGAACAGAAAGAATAAAAACAATTTTTCTGGATATTGGGAGAGATCCAAGACTAATGACTCTACTAATTAGAAGGAACTAACTAAAGGGGTTGCCTATCACTTTATTGTTTGATACACATCATACACTTCCTTCCCACACTACATATTCAATCTTCTAGATGACCATCTTTACTACAATTAATTTGTTAAGATTAACAACAAAGGCATCACAATAAGTATTTGGATAAGCTTTTTCCTCAGGAACATGTATGTCATTTTCAGAATGAGAATGACAGCAAATCCTATATTTGTGTGTCCCTGCATGAGATATGGTGGGTCCCATGTTTTGTCAAAAATATGATTCACTTTCATACAAAGTCAAGCATCATAACAGTTTTTGTGTAGGAGTAAAGACCTGTCTAAAGAGAAACTGAATATGTTTTGTCAACATACAAGCTTTTACTAGTAAAAGAAAATTGGAACAACTTTTTACAATGATAGTTGGTATACATATATCTCAACTCACAGGTGTACATTTAATTTTGTAACGGAGATCTTGCGTTAATGATTTTAGGTGTTGCAAGATATAATACAAGTAAAATTGATGATCAATACCTCATAAATTGCCTCAATTTTAGGTTAGTATATTAATAATTCATTAAGTTTCCATATGATACTGGAACAAGTTCTCCTTCATTCCTTTTTTTTTTCATAAGAAAAAGTGTTACCTTACTAGTATGTTAAAACAAAAATTATTACTTCATAATAAAGCCAGATCCTGTTAATTTATTAACAATAATGACAGTAAATAAATGCGATCCCAGAAACTTAATCAATGTGACAGGAAGAGAACTATGTTGAAAGAAAGATAAGATTGTGCTTACAGTGCGTTGGTGAAGTGTTGTCCCTCGCTCAATGGCTGCAGCCGGGGTCTGAGGGCACAGACCATGAAGCATTAACTTCTGTGCAAGTGAAGGGAAAGTCGACAAGCCCATATAAACCACCAAGGTAGAATCAGAATCAGCAGCATTTTCTGATACAAAGAGAGGATCAGATCCTCCTTTCCTTGAATGCCCTGTGAGAAATCTCACACTATTTGCAATGCCTCGGTGAGTTAACGGTATTCCCAACTCTGCTGCTATTCCAGATGCAGCAGTTATGCCTGCAAGAAATGAGAAATAATTAATTACAATAATCATCACTGTTCTTCCTTTTCTTATAGAAATCATCACATAGAAGAACAGGCAACGTGGAGACAATAGAAATAATATTTTATGCTTTCATTCAATATTCTTTCCCAATGGCAATAACAGCAGTATAAGAAATAGGAATGTGAAATTTACTTTCCACAGGATCCAGTTCATTTAAATCTATGTGCTAAATACCCTTTGTAATATGGATCACCCTCCATAGTTTACTAAGTAGAAAAACTGAAAAAGGAAAAACACTTTCCTTTTTCCCTCTCACAAGGCCACAGTGCGTGATGTTTAGATCCTAGGCTAGGACCAAACATATTTTCATGCCAACATAAGTTGGACTAATCATTGACTTGCCACTAATAGCTCAGAAAGATATGATTATACATACGAAGAATTCATGTAAGAAAAATGTTTTATAAAGTGTAATACATATGCATATGCCTGTGGCCTGTGACTGATTGATCGAGAGATACTTGTTTCAAGTTCTAAAGCTAACCACATTCTGATTCTATAAGTGAAAAAAAATTTATACACACAATAATGTGCATTGGTGCCAATTGAATCATTACATTCATGAATCATACCTGGAATAACTTTGACTTGGATACCTTGCTGTTGCAAAAAGTCCATTTCCTCTCCACCCCTCCCAAACACCTACAAGTACCCAACAACAATCATTATAAGACATCTACATTCATCATACAGACCATGACAAACTAAAACAGTAACTTTCTTTACTAATACAATCCACTAAAACAATCTCAAACAAAACCTTACCAATGGATCACCCCCTTTAAGTCTCACAACAGTTGCCCCAGCTTCTGCAAAACTCAAAAGAAGTTCATGTATTTCCTCCTGCCACAAATCAAGCATAAAAAGATCCATTTAATCATCATCTATGACTCGAACTATCTCTACAACTTCAAAACAAAAATCACACCTCTAAAGGATATTCAAAAGTGGAAACACACAAGGGGGGGAAGACAAAGAAGGAAAAAGAAGAAGGAAGAGAACAAAACACCAATAAGTAATAATTTAATAAAAAATAGTATTGAATTTAAATTATAAAAAATATTTACTTACATAAAAAATGGTAATATATTAAAATATTATAAAATAAGGTAGGTTTGTTAGGTTGAAAATTATAAAATACCAAATAAAAAGTTATTATTATTACTATTATTATTATTAACGAAAACACATGCACGCATTGTATTTGTATTTTTTTATTACATTAATATATATATATATATATATATATATATATATTAATGTAATAAAAAAATACAAATACAATGCGTGCATGTGTTTTCGTTAATAATAATAATAGTAATAATAATAACTTTTTATTTGGTATTTTATAATTTTCAACCTAACAAACCTACCTTATTTTATAATATTTTAATATATTACCATTTTTTATGTAAGTAAATATTTTTTATAATTTAAATTCAATACTATTTTTTATTAAATTATTACTTACTTATAAATTATGTTTGAATAACTTAAAATTATGTTTTATGTTATATTTTGATAATTTTTATGCTTTGAGTGATTTACAAATATTTTATTTTATTTTACCATGTGAGTCTTTCAGTTCAGAACAATTTTATAATACAATAATAATGATAATTTTCCATAAATATTTGCTTTAAGGTTAAGTTTGAATACTTTTCATGTTATATTTAAATATCTTTAGTGTTATATTTATTTAAGTAATTTAAGAATGAAAAGTTAATTTTTATAAAGTAAATAATCTCTTACTCAAAATAAAAGATTTAAAAATGTATACAGTAACATTCCAAATTTTCATAGCATTTAATTACCATGGTATTAGTCACACCTTCAAAATACAAACAGTTAACTCAAAGAAACATTATTACATATATCCAAATATAACTTATAATAACAAAACATATATACAAGATCATGCACTACTACGATATATTATAGTGAACCAAAAGTGTAATATGATAAAATAACAGTATAAAATTGACCTAAACATGTTATATTAACATCACAATAACACATTTAGATCAAAAACAACGAAAGCAAAATGAAAGAATAATGTACGTACCTCCTGCCATTGCAACTTTTGTAATCCAAACACAGATATTTTCGTTTTTCTAAACCTTAACTCACTCAAACTCGAGGGTGTGTTTTCTGAATAGAGGAGTAGGCTTAATCCTAATTCACACGTACTTGTGTATCTCTAAAAAATAGTTCAAAGATTCGAATCCCAATGATATTATTTTATATATAAAATAATTATACTAGTAGTTTTATAAATGAAGGTAAAAATAAATTCAAGAGGTATCGATTATTTTACTTTGGGACAAAAACGAAACATATTCTTCCTTTGTCATGCTCATGATGTGAAGTACTTTGAATTTTAATTCAGAAATCCCACAGAAGAAATAATTCAGTGAATAGTTTACAAGAATGTTCAAGAAGTGGAAAACAAAAACTCAAGAAAACCTTATCATGTATATTTTCTTTTGGTTACAAGAATACCACCAGCTATATGATTTTGAATTCACCAAACCAGAACTGAATTCCTACAACCCTCAAGGTCACATGATGAAGTAAGAACAATGAATGAAATACAGAATCAATCGTTCTGAATAACAGCAACATTGATATGAACACATGATGATACTTCCACATTTTTTCTTGAAAGAAAGATTCTAAATAGCTCAAGGTTATAACACAAATTTTCCTCCAATGACCATGTTCTCACTGATCAAGACAACAGCAGCTACCAAAATCGGTGTGTTTTTTTATAAAACTGAGTGAATCTGTGTAGCACTTTGTTTTATTCCCAATCTTGAGCATGAAAAAAAATCAAAATTGGTTCTGAAACAGTTCCTGCCAAAGACTAAAAAAATCATTGATACCCCAAGACGGTGGCAGAAGTTCTTCATTTCCATAAACATCAGATAGTTTTGTTTAGCTTTCCCAGCCATCCTGCATAAATCTCGATCAAGACTATCATCACCCCTTGTTATGTGCAAGTGCATGCTAAATCAACCCTCCACAAGTAACCCTTCATTTCCACCAAGCTTCACATCACAGTAATATTTCTCAACAACATCGTCCGTCATGTCTGCATTAAACATGATTCTTCTTTTGTAGAAGCTGGCCAAAATGGGGATAGTTCAACAACTTTTCCTACTATAATCAGTGTTGGTGACACCAGCTGAGCAGATGTTATTTTCTCAGAAAGGTCTTTTAGTTCAGCAAACACCTGCATGATTATGAATGATTACTTTCATGTTAACAACCATTCACAACTACAAACTAATCTGTCTCTCTGCTAACTGCTACCATTAGATAAAATCATAAAGTCTTGATTGCATGAAAGGAACTGGTTCAGATTGAGCAAACAAAGAACATACTGTTATTGATGAACAGAAAGAATAAAAACAATTTTTCTGGATATTGGGAGAGATCCAAGACTAATGACTCTACTAATTAGAAGGAACTAACTAAAGGGGTTGCCTATCACTTTATTGTTTGATACACATCATACACTTCCTTCCCACACTACATATTCAATCTTCTAGATGACCATCTTTACTACAATTAATTTGTTAAGATTAACAACAAAGGCATCACAATAAGTATTTGGATAAGCTTTTTCCTCAGGAACATGTATGTCATTTTCAGAATGAGAATGACAGCAAATCCTATATTTGTGTGTCCCTGCATGAGATATGGTGGGTCCCATGTTTTGTCAAAAATATGATTCACTTTCATACAAAGTCAAGCATCATAACAGTTTTTGTGTAGGAGTAAAGACCTGTCTAAAGAGAAACTGAATATGTTTTGTCAACATACAAGCTTTTACTAGTAAAAGAAAATTGGAACAACTTTTTACAATGATAGTTGGTATACATATATCTCAACTCACAGGTGTACATTTAATTTTGTAACGGAGATCTTGCGTTAATGATTTTAGGTGTTGCAAGATATAATACAAGTAAAATTGATGATCAATACCTCATAAATTGCCTCAATTTTAGGTTAGTATATTAATAATTCATTAAGTTTCCATATGATACTGGAACAAGTTCTCCTTCATTCCTTTTTTTTTTCATAAGAAAAAGTGTTACCTTACTAGTATGTTAAAACAAAAATTATTACTTCATAATAAAGCCAGATCCTGTTAATTTATTAACAATAATGACAGTAAATAAATGCGATCCCAGAAACTTAATCAATGTGACAGGAAGAGAACTATGTTGAAAGAAAGATAAGATTGTGCTTACAGTGCGTTGGTGAAGTGTTGTCCCTCGCTCAATGGCTGCAGCCGGGGTCTGAGGGCACAGACCATGAAGCATTAACTTCTGTGCAAGTGAAGGGAAAGTCGACAAGCCCATATAAACCACCAAGGTAGAATCAGAATCAGCAGCATTTTCTGATACAAAGAGAGGATCAGATCCTCCTTTCCTTGAATGCCCTGTGAGAAATCTCACACTATTTGCAATGCCTCGGTGAGTTAACGGTATTCCCAACTCTGCTGCTATTCCAGATGCAGCAGTTATGCCTGCAAGAAATGAGAAATAATTAATTACAATAATCATCACTGTTCTTCCTTTTCTTATAGAAATCATCACATAGAAGAACAGGCAACGTGGAGACAATAGAAATAATATTTTATGCTTTCATTCAATATTCTTTCCCAATGGCAATAACAGCAGTATAAGAAATAGGAATGTGAAATTTACTTTCCACAGGATCCAGTTCATTTAAATCTATGTGCTAAATACCCTTTGTAATATGGATCACCCTCCATAGTTTACTAAGTAGAAAAACTGAAAAAGGAAAAACACTTTCCTTTTTCCCTCTCACAAGGCCACAGTGCGTGATGTTTAGATCCTAGGCTAGGACCAAACATATTTTCATGCCAACATAAGTTGGACTAATCATTGACTTGCCACTAATAGCTCAGAAAGATATGATTATACATACGAAGAATTCATGTAAGAAAAATGTTTTATAAAGTGTAATACATATGCATATGCCTGTGGCCTGTGACTGATTGATCGAGAGATACTTGTTTCAAGTTCTAAAGCTAACCACATTCTGATTCTATAAGTGAAAAAAAATTTATACACACAATAATGTGCATTGGTGCCAATTGAATCATTACATTCATGAATCATACCTGGAATAACTTTGACTTGGATACCTTGCTGTTGCAAAAAGTCCATTTCCTCTCCACCCCTCCCAAACACCTACAAGTACCCAACAACAATCATTATAAGACATCTACATTCATCATACAGACCATGACAAACTAAAACAGTAACTTTCTTTACTAATACAATCCACTAAAACAATCTCAAACAAAACCTTACCAATGGATCACCCCCTTTAAGTCTCACAACAGTTGCCCCAGCTTCTGCAAAACTCAAAAGAAGTTCATGTATTTCCTCCTGCCACAAATCAAGCATAAAAAGATCCATTTAATCATCATCTATGACTCGAACTATCTCTACAACTTCAAAACAAAAATCACACCTCTAAAGGATATTCAAAAGTTGACACACACAATTTTTTTGCTCCATCATTAACCCATCATAAATTCCAAGAAAATTTAGAGTATTTCAGTATTTGTGACCGCAATGGCAGCCACAGCAATCACATTCATCCATAATTTTCTGCAATATCAAGAATGATAAAACCCACGACCGCAATTGCGGTTGCAAAAACCACGTTTATCCACAATTCCCCACAATATAAAGAGTGGCAACAAAACCACAATTTAAAACCTAGCAACAACCCAACAAAAAAAACAATATCTTTACCTGTGTTCTACTATGGTATCCAGCAGTTTTTCCCACATAGAGAAGCTTGGCCTGAGGAGCAACCAAATCCAGCACATCATTGGACACCAACCTGTCATACAGCAACAAATCAGCACTCTTAATTACTCTCACAGCCTTGAGAGTGAGAAGCTCAGGGTCCCCAGGCCCGGTCCCCACCAAGAACACATTCCCTGGCAAACACTCCCCTCCACTGCACTTCCCCTCACTTTTCCTCTTCTCCCTCAGCACCTCCAGCAGCTTCTTCAGCTCCGGCAGCTGCAGGGCTATGTCTTCCTCCCTCACGGATCCCGAGTCGCTGGGGGGAGGAAACGACATCGTTTGACTATCCTCGTACACCCATTGGTCCCTCTGGTACCTCTCTAGGGAGTGCTTCTCCGTAAAGGGTGAGGCGGAGAAGGAAACGAGGTGGCGGCGGGGAGGAGAAAAATAGGGCTTTCCGGTGAAGGGTGAGTGGAGAGAGGAAAAAGGTGCGAGCTTGTGAAGAAGAGCCATGTGGGTGGTGTGAGAAAAAATACAGTACCTTAAAGGCTTGGAATTTGTTCTATATATTTTACCCAGAGGCAGTGGAGAAGTGGCAAGTGGAATGGACTTTGGGGAGATTGAGGAGACACTGTGTGTTGTGTTGTTTGCCTTTGGGCTTGTGGGAGGGACATGCCTCTGTGCCTCTGTGTGTGCTTTCCCTTTTCTTTGTTTTCTTCTGTTTCATGGTCAAAGTAGACTGCAGAATTGGGAGAATTTGGAGATCCAGGTGTAGATTTTGTTAATTACAGTTACTAAATTATAATTTCTCCAATTTCAAATGTAAATAAAATAAAATAAATTTAAATTAATAACATTTAATTTCATTTAAAAGAAAGTAAAACTACTCTTTATTAAAACATAATATTAAGAATAAAAGAAGGTTATAGAAATAAAACTTTCGCTTATGAAAACATGTTTTAAAGTAATCTCTTTGAATGAGATAAATTTATTAAAATTTATTTATGATTATACCAATACCTATGATTGTCTTCCTGATTTAGTTCTTGAAATTGTAAATTTTATGTCATTATTATATTTAATTGTTTTGAAAAATAAATAAATTTATGAACATTTTAGAATTTCATTTAAGATTCTAAATTTGATAATTTTTGTCATCTTGGTTCTTAGTTGAACGGTTCAAAGAATAATAATTTCAACATATATTTAGGAGTCAAAATAAAAAAAAAGTTTAAAAGTTAAATAAAATTCTAAAATTTTAGAAACGTATTTAAGCTTTCTTTAGTTTAAGGTTAATAAAACAGTAAAATACAATTTTTATAATTATATTAGCCATTTATTTATTTATTTTTACATTTTGGAAATTTAAGATTAAAGATAATTTTAATACGTACGTATGTTTTTATGATATTCACTAAACTTCAATTTCTTCTTTCTAATACATGTATGAATGAATTTTATTGGGTTCAAATTCCATTTTTGTATGAGATATCAACTTGTTTATTTTCTTATCCTTAAACAATCAACGCAAGCCTCAACAGTAGTAAATTCCAAAAATATTAAGTACTCATTTATTTATTAATTGTTTAATTCTATCAATATGTGTTTCAATCTTCAATATTACCACAAAGAATTTTTCAGCCACATCATATCATTTTAATCCAATCATAAATGTTCATAAAACTATTATTTTGAACAATAATAGCATAAAAATCATCATATAGCTGACTCAAACTTACTATCTATATTTATTTTTCAACCTAAAATCAATCCATCCTAGAAATTAAAGAAAAAACTTAGACAATAGTCCTCAAAGAAAAACATATTTTTAGAAAAACTAGGAACTTAAAAGTATTTTATAAATACAAAAACAAAATCATTACTTAAAATTAAACTAAATGTCTCAATGGTCCCTACATGTCAATTTGTCTTATTTCCTAAATAGATATATGACTCACTACCTATTAGCCTTCTTAGGATTTCCATACCCAATAAGATATTGAAAATATGAATTGTATAACCATAATTCATCTACCTTGCGTAATGATTAACATAACCATAGTATATTTATGTTAATAAAAAAATATGTTTAGATTCATAACAAACAAAAACAAACGAATTAATTCTCTTCTCATAATAATTCTTAATTTTTTTACTATCTTCAAAATTCATTAAAACCCACTCAAAAACCCCAAGTAGTGGAAGTCAAGTGTCAAGGAGAGAGAGTCAGAATTTCGGATAGTAAAAAACAAGCGGCTGCAGGACACGAGAGTGGCCGTTCGTTTTTAGTGACGACAGTAGTTAATGCCAAATTTCAAACTCTGTGTCACTTTCTGCATGCAACCCTTCTTCCCCAGATTCTGAAACTTTCATTTTCTCCTCCTTCTCTCTAAAAAGCTCATACTTCTCCCTAAGAAATCTTACTCTTTTCTTCTTCCGATCACCGATCACCACTCAGGCACCGTTGGAGCTCTTCCAGCGTCGAGAGCTTCCGTTTGAACCGTTCGATTTTTCATTCTGAGCTGGTAAGTTCATCCCTCTCTCAGCCGTGCGGTTTCCTGTACATGCAAACCAAGTTTCTGGTTGCATGGGTTTCTTATCACTTTCTGAATACATTTCTGGGTTGTTATTTGGGTAGTTTCTTGAAGCGTGAACTATAATCTCTTAAGAAATCTGGTGGAGAACCAGTATTCTGCCTCTGTGAGCATTCGGTCACGTTACGAGGTAAGGGAAGCTTATATAATTTGATTTGAATTCTTGTTTTGGATGGTTGCATGTTTGTTTGAGTATTGGATGAATATGAAGTATGAATCTATGATGATAAATGATGAGGAATGAATTGATATAAGGATTAATCGTATGTTTGTAGTTCTCTGCGAAATTTGATGTTGTCATTGAAGGTCATTATTGACCGATCAGTTTTCTTGTGGACTCGGTTGGGACTAGATTCTTTCATTTGGAGAGAATTTCAGTTGATGACCGAGCGATTTTGTCTTGTAACATTGGTACATAAGCGTTCGGTCCAAGGGTAATTGTTTCCTTGTATTTGGTTATAAACCTAGAGTTGTATTCTATATCACTTAAATAAGATATATATATATATATATATATATATATATATATATATATATATATTCGTTTCCCCTTGAAAATTTACTTTGGTACCTTATCATATCTATAAAACCTTTATTCTATAAGCTAAGTAGTGCTCGGTCTTACACCAGGCGCTCGGTCTAAGTGGCGCTCGGTCTTAAACCAAGCGCTCGGTCTCATCTCAGTAATTTATCATTATCATTTTTAAAATAACAACGTTCGGCCAAACTCAATAGTGTTCGATTTCTACAGTGCTCAGTCTTATACTAGCACTCGACCCTTTTATGTTAGTCACATACTAACGACTAAGTATAAATAGCGTTCGGTTTATTCAAAACATTCAGTATGTTATTAGTATTCGGTGTTATAAAGCGTTCGGTCTCTATCAATGGTGTTCAGCCTAGAGTCTTAGTACTCGGCCTAGGCTTTGTGGCGTTCAGTTTGAACTCTCAGGGGTCAGTTTAATGAAACGGCTCATCTTGTAAATAGCATCCGGTCCTATTATTTACTATGGAATGTTATTCCTTTCGGTTTCTTTCATAGCTCTGATGATAACTCTTTTGGTTCTAATTTGTTTGGGAGCTGAAGACCTCTCGGTCTCACTCCTAACGTTCGGTCTCGTCTCTATGTTGAAGGCTATCGTTCAATATTCAACTTCATATTGAATTTCTATTGCGATTGGTTTAGTTTGAGGTTTGAGAATACATTATGATGAATGTAATGGATAAAAACGAGTTTGATTATGTAAGAGTATTCCGGGGAGGAATATCTCATGAAATGGTATTGGAATGGTAAAGTATGAATGTGGACAAAGCTAAGCTGGCGTTCATCCTGATATTCGTGATTACTCCTTCTCACGTAGAGGAGGGTAAGTCATGTGTGAGAATGGCAGGAAGTCCTAGTCCATAAGGTTAACTTGGACGGAACGAATTAACCTCGGGTGGCAGCTGTTGAGGGTATCCTAGTTACTACATCACCCGGGTGCACGAATGTCGTAGCTACACAGAATTCATACAGTTCGGACGGTCTGAGTCAAATGTTGTTTTCTTGCATGCTATAATGAATGCTTAATTTTGTGCAATTGATCGGTGTGAAACCTATGTGATATGAAAATGTTTGCCAGGAATTAAATTACATAAGCTTACCATTTTTCCTATCTTGTCTACTTCGTTGTTTCGTCTGTTTTTGTTCCTGTTGCAATGATCATCCGTGTGGATGTGAGCAAAAGGAGAAGAGTTGCTGGAAGAGGCACTGGAAGATACTTTGGTCGAAGTGGAAGTGAAGACCGAACAGTAGAACCGTTCGATCAGTCTTGGTTTTCTTTGTATTACCGTTCGGTCTAAGCTATTTTGTAAACCGTTCGGCTATTTACTATAGCTTCTATTTTACTTGTATTGTAGAACCGTTCGGTGTAAGAGTATTTTGAATATCGTTCGGTCTTGGCCGTAGGATTGTAAGCTTGCAAAATTTACGGCAACTATGTAAGGTCGTTCGGCCATAATCGTACCCCCCTTTATGTGAAACTGATCTATAATATTATGAATGTGATTATTTTATTATATGATTCAACACTGTATTTTTGGGATGTTACAGTTTCTTTATTTTATAAAGGGTTGTTTGAAATTTAAGTTCATATCAAATTAGATTTTAAGATTAGACTTTAAAATTTAAATTATACGTATCATGTTAAATTAAGAGTTTAAAATTTAAATTATATTTATAATGTTAGATTGGATTTTAGAATTTTGGATTTTAAGGTATTACGTTATAGACTTGGAATTTAAACTATTGGAATTTTAAATATTTACGAATCACATTCAATATCTTAATTAATTTACATTATAAGCTTTAAAATATTTAAAATTTGCATGTTAATTAATTAATTTAGTTATATTAAAAGTTTAATAATGACTTAATATTCTTATTGAATGTGTTTTTGTAAACTTTCCTAGTCACATTATATTATATTAAACATATTAGTATTGAGTTTCAGGATGCATGATCTCTACAAATTATATTCTTTATATTTTTTTTAAAGTTCATGTTCCAAGCATTATACTACCAAAATTTTGGGGGAGTTAGTACTGTTGAATCTTCAATTTTCTTTAATAGGATAGCTTTGGAAGATTAATCATTTTAAAATAATTTTTTAATATTTATATTTTAATATATTAGAGCAAGAAACCTTTTTTATATAATTTAAAAAAAGTTTTTTATACCGGTTTCAAAATTGATGCAGTAAAGTTTCTATTTTTTATACCGATTTTAAAACTAATATAAAAAAGTGTCACTTTTTAATATGATAGTTTTGAAAGATTAATTATTTTATAATAATTTGTTAATATTTATATTTTAATAGGTTTAATTGTTTGTTTTGTCTCCAGTTTGGTTGCAATGTGTCAAGTTCGTCCACCCTTTTAAAAGAATTTCAATTACATCCAAAACTTGGTTTAAAAATGTCAATTTCATCCAAACATTGTAAAATTTCACAAGTCCCTTCCGTTAAATAGGCAAAAGGTGTTAACTTTTTTTTGTCTCTCTTCTGTTTTTCTGTGCAATGGAGTCTCTTTATCAATGTTTATAATAAA